ATAATATAAAATGTAATAAATTGCAACTTACAAATATATTTAATTACAAATATTTTCAAAAACACGACATACAAGATTCAATAGAAATGACATTACAGTAATTTTATTTTTATGTATTTGTTTGTCATAGCTATGGAAGCCCGTTTCTGCCACTGAATAATAAATATTAAAAAAAAAGTTTATTGCGACTTTTTATCTCACAATTCTGACTTTTTTTCTCAGAATTGCGTGATATAAAACTCGCAATTGCGAGACATAAAGTCGCAATTCTGAGAAATAAAGTCTGAACTGCGAGATATAAACTCACAATTGTGAGTTATAAAGTTAGAATTGTGAGTTTATATCTCGCAGTTCAGACTTTATTTCTCAGAATTGCGACTTTATGTCTCGCAATTGCGAGTTTTATATCACGCAATTCTGACTTTATTTCTCAGAATTGTGAGTTTCTCACAATTATGACATTTTAACTCGCAATTGCGAATATATATCACGCAATTCTGAGAAAAAACTGTCAGAATTGCGAGTTTGTATCATGCAATTATGAGAAAAAAAGTCAGAATTGTGAGATCAAAAGTAGCAATTACCTTTTTTATTTTTTATTCAGTGGCGGAAACAGGCTTCTTCCATACATAGCAGTACAAAGGCGATAGAAGTAATTATGAAATTACATATAAAGACGTACATCATAAACTCTAAATGTAAGCTAATTGAATTTAAATTCAAACTACATGCAGTTTAATTTAATTGCAATAATATGCAATTAAATGTCCAAAAATATTACATTCACTTCCCGCTTGAGTATTATTATTTATTTTTTTCAAGTAGGCCTATATTATTTGCACTCTTTTTAAAAGTATGTTAAAGTGTACTTATTTTTTTACAGGGGTGTTCGCCTGCAAAAAAATTAAAAATAAAATACTGGTTAAACTAGTTAAGAATCCTGGTTATTAAGACAACAGAATCCAGAACACAACATACCAACAATCAGCAATGCTGGTCTTTTCAACAGGGATAAGATTTACTTATATTATATAAATAAATGTGCAATTTATCAGAAAAAATATGAGAAAAAGATAATGCTTAAAAGAAAATCCGGTAGCGCTTTATTTTGCAGTCCTGTTCCACATGTACATTTACAGTCAAATATTGTACAGTGTACGGTGTAATTATTATAGTAATTGCAGAAATTATAGTAAAAACCCTCAACCTACCCCTAAACCTAACCTTAACCCATGTAGATACCTTATATTATCAGTACTTTAGTACACTGTAAAAATAAAATAAATAAATAAATAAATAGTCAGGCATGAGATATGAAACATCAGTTGCACAGGACAAAATAACACACTATTAACTAACTTTCTATTGCACTAATTAAAAGTATCAGTTAATTATCCACATGAAATGAGTCACACTTGAACTCAAGCTATCCTCTCCTCTCTGTCTAGTCTGTGTACGTAATGGATCTGATGGCTCTGTATGTCAGCCATATTAACTGCACTGAACAGTGGCTGTAGCCTTTAACCTCTTCGTGGACACCCACGTCATTATGACAGATATATCAACCGCCAAATTATCCGTGACCGCAGCCAGTCCTATTATTTCCTGTTATATTAATGCAAGAAACACCCTGACTGTTTGATACGCTTAGATCAGAGTAGAAGTGATGTCACACCAGGGTGAAAACAAGTTTTGAACAAAGTCAGGATAATTAGGATGTATATTTTCAGAGGAAATGATATGAAGTGCTTAGTGTTGTATTTGCTCAGGCCATATTTGACCTCGAAATCGACATAACATTTTTAAATAATATATTGTGTACATAAAATATGAAAATATTTAAGATTGTTAGCTTCAGATATAATTTTAATGACAATTGTGAACATGTTTATGTTTGACACTACATGCTAAACTACAAAACATGATAGTGCTATTTTTTTTTCTTCAGATATTATTGTGCATGGTATTTAATTTATCATTACAGATGCCCGTCTTGTGAAAATGTATGTCCGAAACTTTCATTAGGCCTTACCTGTCCATCTCTCATTTATGTCATTATGTGAAATGGCACTGACATGTGTTTTTCTGCTCGATTGATTCATGTGCTGGCCCCTCCACGTTTATATATCACATCTATTCTATAACATCTTTTTATTAGAGCAACCACATTAGAACATCCGGTGGATGTTCACCGTCAGAGGGAAGAGGAAAAATGAATCGAATATTTTCATGTGATTGACAGTCCAAACATGGACAAAATGAAAGTACCTGATGATGACAGAGATGTTTTTTAGAGTTGGCCAAAATGTAGCTGTAAATTGAAACAGGTGTCAAAAGACGAGACATTTTCACAGTAGTTTTTTTGTGCCACTATTGTTTTGTTTTTGTTTTTGTGTTGTGTTGTGTTGTGTTGTGTTGTGTTGTGTTGTGTTGTGTTGTGTTGTTGTGTTGTGTTGTGTTGTTTTGTTTTTTGTTTGTGAGCTGTATAACACATACTTTAAACCTGAAATATTTCTCTAACATTTTCACTCAGAACAGTATTTTTTCTGTTACCTGAAATCACTGTTATGCATATACTGTACAGTACATACAGTACACTGCAATACACCATCTGAATCAAATAAAAGTTGGATAAAAAAAAAAAAAAAAATTTACACATATTCCACAGCATAAGAACAGAAACCAACAGTCCAACAAAATGATCTCCTCCTCATCATTTTAAAGTCACAATGAAAATTTAGCAATAGTAAGATATCATTCACTCTTAAAATTAAAGGTGCTTCACGATGCCATAGAAGAACCTTTTTTGTCTAAATGGTTCCATAAAGAACCTTTAACATCTGCAGAACCTTTCAGTTTCACTAAAGGTTATTTGTGGCGAAAGAAGGTTCTTCAGATTATAAAAAGGTATGAAAGAGATGGTTCTTTAAAGAACCTTTGACTGAATGGTTCTTTGTGGAACCAAAAAATGGTTCTTCTATGGCATCGCTGTGAAGAACCTTTTAAGCATCTTTATTTTTAAGAGTAAGAACCATTCTTTTCTCCAGGGACTGATTTACTGATCAGATATCGAGAGGAAAACTTTTCTCTTTGCTACAAGATGCTCAGTAGCTAGTGTTATAATTTAGTAATGATTTCATAATTTTAGAATTGTAATTTTAGATAAGAGACACCATGCTATACAGAAAACAGAGTAGCATTAAACAGCAGACATTAAATACACTCTTAAAAATAAAGATGCTTCAAAAGATTCTTCACAGCGATGCCACAGAAGAACCATTTTTGGTTCCACAAAGAACCATTCAGTCAAAGGTTCTTTAAAGAACCATCTCTTTCATACCTTTTTATAATCTGAAGAACCTTCTTTCGCCACAAAGAACCTTTTGTGAAACAGAAAGGTTCTTCAGATGTTAAAGGTTCTTTATGGAACCATTTAGACAAAAAGGTTCTTCTATGGCATCGTGAAGCACCTTTATTTTTAAGAGTGTAACTTCTTTAATAAGAACTTCTTTTACTAAATAATAAAAATACTAAAACAATTATTTTCACTCAAACAAAATTGTGCCAAGGTTCTAATAATAGGCATAATAGCTGCTGTTGGCTGGATTATTATTTTTTTATTTATTTTTATTATTATTATATGGGAGGTGCTCATATTAAATTTATTGCAGAAACAGCACAATATGCAAAATATTTTCTCCAACTCACTCAAAATATTTACAAGAATGCAAGCATTCTCAAATTCTGTCTTCTATTAACTGGTCAGTCGGGTTAAAGCGGTCTGCTGGTTCCAGTGTTTTACCAGTCTTAGTTCATAATCTGAAAGTTAATCAGGTCAAAGTTTACTTCTAGATCTTTATCTTTCACTTTGAGCTGAGGTAAATGTCTGGTAAAGTGCAAGAGTCAATGAAAAAAGGGTTTGAATGTAATGGTCACACTTTATTTTAAGGTCCAATTCTCGCTGTTAACAAACCATTAACTATGACTTTTCCCTCAATAAATTCCTAACTTGCTGCTTACAAATAGTTAGTAAGGTAGTTGTTAAGTTTAGGTAGTGGGTAGGATTAGGGATATAGAATATGCTCATGCCGAATATGTGATTTATAAGTGCTAATAAACAGCCAATATGTTAATAATAGCCATGCTAATAAGCAACTGGTTAATAGTGAGAATTGCTCCCTATACTGTTACCAGTGTACTGTTGTCTGTTTTCTCTGCCATTTTTGTACCTCCTCAATTTTATGAATAGTACATGTGTTTTTGTATGGATTGCAGAGGTCCTTATCAAGCACCAGTCATTGTCAGAGGTCTATAATGAACTAGTATGGTGCATAAATTGCGTGGCTTTTATGGCTATAATCGATGTATGCAACCACTTGATGTTGGTGTGCATTAACGTATCAGCGTGTTCATCAAAAATCATATAGTGAGGTGCTGCATCCAATCAGATGGTGTCAGGCAGGGTCTTTTCTAATGGTTGTGGGATATTTAACCATATTTGCACGCTACTTTCACTTTTTAGATCAGTTGCTGTTGTTTATTTTCTTCTTGGTTTAAAAAGGAAGCCTTTCTTGCTACATTGCTTTTGAAATTCTTTCTACGTAAAATCTCCAATGGGTTTATTGACCTTATTATAATAACATTGAGCAGAGAAGTGGATTTTTATCTTTCTTTTATTAGAAAAAAAACAACAACAATCTAAACAAAATGTCAATTCTTCTTTGCTGTTCATGTCATTTTTATAATACATTTTATTCATATGCCATCATGATTACATGTTGCAAAACACTATACGTCCTTATTGACATGCAAGGTTGATCCGAAACTGAAAATGCTGCAAACAGTTGTTTACACCAAAAGGCACTGGCTCTTTTATACTCTGGGAAAAAAATAAGAATGATACTAAATAATAATAAAAAATAAACAAACAGAATCATTCCCATCATTATTATACATCTTATATTTATTTGACTGTATTTTCCACTGTGTTTGCATTTGAACTATAGGGGCAGATAAATGGGCGACTGCAGCAAGTCTCTCTTCCCATAAGTGTTGGCTCCTACGTTGGTCGGCGCGTAGACGGTGCCGAGGGTGTTGCTGGATCGGACGAGAAAGTCTGCTAATCTCTGAGTCACGCAGGTGGCTGTGTTACACTTCCGCTTTTCCATGTGATGACTGTGGGGAAGTTCAGGAGAATATAAAGCATTAGTCATGCGCCTCAATCAATTAAAACAACCTGAAAAAGATGTTGTAATGTCGTAATTAAGCAATATCGCAAGAGCAAGAATTGTACAATTTGAAATTAACCAATTCTAATTCAAAGACGCCATAATAGTTAATAATAGATTCATTTAACTGTAAACACATTAATAACTTTTTTTGTGATTGCCGTGGATTGCTAGCATGATGTTTCTTTTAATAATTTATAACAAAACAATTTCAGTCTTTAACTTATTCCCCCTCAAAAACGCAAATCTACTTCAATTGTACTACGACCTACCAAAATGGCAACATCTTAAACTCTGAATCATAATTGTTCATTATTTTGCACAAGTACCTGTTCACTGCAGTGAGGCCCCTTGGAGGCCGTGGCCTTGTAAAACTCACAAATGGATTGTCAGATAGATCTGTGACCAGCCATCCATCGACCTCTTGCGAGTCATCCGGCTTTTCGTTAGAGGAAAGGGAGTACCTGTCGACAAAAGAGGCCACAAAGCACCATCTCATCCAGAGTTGCTTAGAAAGTGCCACTTTCCCTGACAACAGATCTTCTGAAGTGGAGACGTGTTGCAAGTGGATCATTTGCGCCCGCTGGTCATATCACTTACACACACTTCTCCACACTTGCAACACACTTGTTACATCTTGATACAAGGATACTAAATAATCCGCTACCTCATGTGAACTTCTTTGTTAGGTGACCTAAAATAGTTATTTGATGTGGTAACATTGACATTACATTATTAATTGCTTAAACTAAACGAAACTAAACTAAAATAAAATAAAAAATGTTTAATTAAATAAAATAAAAAATAAAAAAATAATAATAAAAAAAATAAATAAATAAAAAATTAATTAAATTAAATTAAATTAAATTAAAAATCTGAATACATTAGATTATGCCGGCAAGAGTCATATTTAAAGCTGAAACAGCAAGAAATAGCTGCACATTATAGCTGCACATGATAGTACCTATCAATACATAGACGCTTCCTTATGACCAATTTCTACATTTTATAATAATAATAGTGAAGTCATCAAAAGAAAATAACACAAATGGAGGAATGGGAATTATTTAGACATGTTTTATATAGAATATAGATTATCTAGATTGCAGATTGTCTTGGGATGTGCAGTATTTAATTTCTGGCTGATAGTGATAAGGGGGTAATTCATTTTTAATAAATGATAACTAATAAATATTATACTGTTTTCTTAAAAAAATAAATAATAAGACAACAAAAAGACACTGAAAAAAAAATGTTTGCATGCTATAAGTGAATTTATACAACGCTATTATTATAATGTAAAATATAAAACATGAATAAATATTTTCATTGGAGAAATCTGCTTTAAAAAGAAAAATGAAGTCTGTATAATAATAAAGGAAGAAACATTATTAAAGGTTGTTTTATGCTTTAGCAAGACGTTTTTACACAAACGCACACAGCTCTGCAATAATTATGCACAGTATTCATTCATGTTCTTAAGGCATAAGACTTCGATGTCAAAACCTTTTAAAATAATGAAAAACATAAATTTAGTAAAGTTTGTCTTAACCTTAGACTGCATGGTAGAATGTTATCATTATCATATGAAACAAATAAAAGAGAAATTGTTAGCTATTTCTACCCATTTTAAAACCTAGATATTCGTTTTGATGGAATAAAATAATGTGTTTAGATTAAATATTAAATACTATTTTTGACTTCAATAAAACCAGTTAAAACAGATGTTACCATTTATAAGTGACCATTGTTTTCAGTGTACTCATTAGACAAGTCTACAATCACACAGATAGTTTATATTTAATATTTAAATTTATATAAATCTAAATATTCAATCATTCTTTCTTATTTAAAAGATAAAATAAAATAAAAAATTCAATAGACAATACGTTTTGTTAATATGTTTGTATTTTATGCAGTAAAGTAATAGACAATATGTCAGGTAACCCAAAGTGTGTAACCTAAACCTATGATACCATCTGGATTAACTGATTCTAAATGAAAAATATTATTTAATTTGTCCTAATCAACCTAACTACATCAGGTTAAACAAATAAAAAACAAATCTTAGCTTTAAGGGTCAGATTAGGGGCACAAAAAATAGATCAGTAATCAGATAAAAAACAAAACAAAAAAAAAACACCCTAACAAAAGGAACATTTTTACTTTTTACAATGAGTTAAAAGACTTGCCTGTTGTAAGGGACTGTGGCAACACATTGCAGCATCACAAGGAAGATCAGGATCTGGGAGGGCAGTTTCAGATGATACATGGCAGACAGGAATACTTGTATTTGTTCTTGTGCAAAATAAAAGAACAAAAAATAAAAAAGAGCATTAGCATTCTGTGGACATTTCAGTGACATTTTCTGAGTTTTGTACCACCACATCCCCATCAGTAAAGCTCAAGGTGTTTTTAACTCATATTACAGTTGACAAAATGTAGTGTTATTTTACATTTGTCGACATTTAGCATCATTAATATTATTAAAATGTTTTTATTATTGTTTTTAAACTTTCAAAACTAAAAACAAACTCTTTTCAAATAATGCTGAGCCTAATGATAATCCAAAGATATTTTATTGAAAAGGTAAGAGTACTCACTTCCAGCGGTTTCAAACCAGTGGACAGCAGCTCCTGAAGGTGCCGGCGTTGTCTCTGTTTTTCACACAAACACACTCACACACTCACTCCATCCTCTCTGTTATAGGCTCCTACCCTCAACCACTTGTGACATCATCGCACTCCTCCAAATATAGCCCTCCATTTCCAGTAGAGATCGAGAGGGGGGTTAGCTTGAAGATTTCAAACTCACAGTGAGGGTCAAAAGCGGCGCTGACGCTCATTATGACATTTGTTGTGGACATCATTATCGACTGCCTTTACGTCACAATGCTTCAGATGACTTTGAGTAAAGCCTTCCTACAATGTGTGTGTGTGTGTGTGGGGGGCGGGGGGTATACTTTCTACATTCATGAGCACATTTGGCTCATTTTAATTATCGTTTCTGAAGAAAAATCAGTGCTGTACCTGGAACAACTTCTTCAAAATATTATAAATGTCAAGGTCAGGCCTTGAGTTAGGCCTTGTTTCTTTGTATATCTTTTTATTTATTTATTTTTCCATTCAAAATGCTCTAAAAAGTGCCAGAATTTCTTCAAAGCTTTACCTTTCTTGTAGCTCAATACTTTCCCCTTCCCAGGGATTCAAGAAGCAATGACTCGCAATGAGAACAAAAATAAAATAAGTTTCACCCAGAATCCACCAACATCCACAGGGACTGAAATGTATCACACATGAAATCATTATGTATCGTAACAGAATGGAAAAGGTGGAAAACTTACACAAATTTACACAGAAATTAAGATTCTTTAAATTTTCTCTTGGAGATGGAGCTTTATGAAGCTTGAAAGCCTTCATTCAGTTTCAGAGAAGAAAGAAAGATGGGTTTAGAATGACATGAAATGTTTTGTTTTTGTTGTTGTTGAAAATTAGTCAAGTTTTCTATAGTGACTTTAAATCACAACAACAAAAAAATAAAAATCACCAGACTTTTCCGCTAATTCGCAACTGTAAATATGTTTAAAGACATTTCCAACGTGTAGATTTATTTTGTGTTTTTACTTGTAGTATTTTGAAAATTTTTAGTCCAGCTAAAGCAGCTGATTTTGCTTTTACATTATACAAATATACTGTAAAACGAAGTGGCACATCACAAAACACACCAATGATCAGCCTAAAATCAATACTTTACATAATTTAATTTTCCATAAATAAATAAATAAATGTTACTTAGATTTTTCCAACCAAAAATGAGGTGCTATGTATTATATTTACCAGTGATTATTATGATCTTAGTACAAATACTGCAGTTAGTCTACAGTATAGTTGCAAACATAACACTCACTATTGTCTAAAATCATGATGCTCAGGACTGCAGGACTGTAAAATGTAGGTTATTTTTTCAGATGCTTATTTTAGAAAAAAAAAAAGGTTACACTATTTAAACGAGGTTTAAATAAACATTGTATATATCTATATATATATATATATATATATATATATATATATATACAAAGTGTTAATTAAATACATTTACTCTAGACATATTAAGATAATATATTTTTCTTTAATATCATTTTTGGAATATACTGCCACCACATGTTAGAAAGCATCCATTGCATACTTACAGGGAAAAAAAAAAATCTCCAATGGAGATTAATGTATGCATTTAGGGGCATACATATGTATCTACTGTATATAGGGCATATTTATTTATTTATTTATGCTATACACAGAAGAAGTATTTGTGTGTGTGTGTGTCTGGTTCAGGTATACTCTACGTTATGGGGACAAAATGTCCCACAAAGATAGCAATATCCAAAATCCTTGTCCTTTTGGGGACATTTTTTGGTCCCCATGAAGAAAACAGCTTACAAATCATACTAAGTGATGTTTTTTTTATTTTTTATCTAAGAATGGCAGTCGTTTTTGTGAGGGGTAGGTTTAGGGGAGTTTATAGAGTCAGGGCCAGGTTGATGCACAGGCCTACTGGGCACGTGCCCAAAGCACTAGACCAGTGGGGGGCCCATCTGAAATTCCATTCGATTTTAACTGATGGGGAGCTGCTACTTCAGAGCGTATCATTTTCTTGTGAAGAGAGGATGAAGTCTAAAGAGCTAGTCTCTGTTCCCCAAGCCTGTCTCAACAGGACGTCTGCTCCCATATTCAAACACCCTAGAATGTAGTGAGAGCAGCCTGCCCTGGGCCCAAAGTAGGATATAACATGAATAATGGCCACTAATGAAAACCCGCTGATTTATAAATGGCCAGTGGTGTAACACCATGTGCACTGAATTCACTGTTCACTCTGTCACCCTTTTTTCCCCCGCTAGCAACGCCCCTGTATACTGTTGTGTTGTTCATCTGGTCATGTGGCAGCCCTACAGGTCCATTTATTTGCGATGTGAGAGGATGGCTCCCCCAGAGTCCACAGGCTGGCCTTGAGGACCATGCCCCTATAAGTAAGGCATCCGTAACACCCTTACTCAAGAACTGGGGTTATATCCACAAAAGAAGGGTACAAAAGCAACTGTGCAAGACCCTTACTTCTTGCAAAGGGTGTGAAAGCCAAAGTATTGGCTTCATATGGAGCAGACCCAGCAGAATTACTGGGATTGTGCTGCCATGAAGTGGCAAAGATGTCCACAGAAGTAAGAATCGGCTGAACATAATAAGAAAAGCCATGCTTCTGAATGACAGATCCTAATGATGACATGTAGACGGAGAAGAGAAGTGGTCCAAGCACTGAGCCTTGAGGAACCCCAGTAGCACGAAGTTGTGATTTAGAAACCTCACCCCTCCAAGACACCCTGAAGGACCTTCCTGAGAGGTAAGACTTGAAACACAGGAGTGCGGTTCCTGAGATGCCCATCTTTATGAGGGTGGACAGGAGGATCTGGTGGTTAACTGTGTCAAAAGCAGCAGACAGATCCAGCAAGATGAGTACTGAGGATTTGGAAGGCAGCAGACAGATTCAGCAAGATGAGTACTGAGGATTTGGTAGCTGCTCTTGCCAGTCTCAGGGCTTCAGTAACTGAGAGTAGAGCAGTCTCAGTTGAGTGGCCGCTTTTGAAGCCAGATTGGTTGTTGTCAAGGAGGTTGTTCTATGCAAGAAACATAGAGTGTAAGAGTTGAACATAACTCACTCAAGTGTCTTTGCAATGAATGGAAGAAGGGATACTGGAAGTGGGGTTACCCGAGCCTGCTTAAATGCTGATGGAAATGTACCAGTGTGAAGAGAGGTGTTGATAATGTGAGTAAGCGCAGGTATAACTGAAGAAGAAATGGCCTGAAGGAGGTGAGTGGAAACTAAGAAAGTAGAAATCCTTTTCTACAGTCTGCAGGAGGTCGACACATTTGGCAGACGTCGCCACACTGGCGCCACAATAACAGACCGGTGTGTAAAACTCTTGGACGTATTTTAAGGATTTTATGCCGCGAACTTGAAATATTTAACATGCTTTTGAAAATCCAGTGTTTAGTTGATCCTGATAAGCACTCATCGTCACATTTGTAAACACAATGGCTTTCTTCTTCTATGTGGGGGTTTGGCGTCACAGCCTCTTTGTTTTCAGGTGGAATGTTAAAGAATGCGACACGCATGTCTCCCGGAAATCCTGTACACTTCAACCAGTCAGAGGACGACTTCGAAACTCCTGAAGTGTTTCCAGCTAAGTGTGCCGTATGCATCAGACGTTCAGCGAGCAGTTCGTGGGTGTGACGTCTGAGGCTGAGACTAGGCATTGGGTGGCTGTTGGAAGCCACAGGATTAACTGCCAGAAAGCTACAGTATCTTAATCCCGTATCTTATTAGAAAAATTATGCACACCCTCAAGACATTATTTTTCCAATAATTCAACAAGCCGTCATCGATTATTCCTTACTTGTATAATACTTACGTAGAGTATTATGAGAGGAAGCTCGACAAAGCGAGTTCCTGTGTTTCATACATTCTTCAAGTATTCATTTTCTCATCAACATAAAAAGCAGAGATGGGCATGCATAGATGATTATGCAATCATCTATGTATGGCATTCCCAGAGGGCCGATGCTGGCTTCACTGATGCCACGCATAATGTTTTCCAACAACGCGATCACCCATGTGGGCAAGATTTCCCCTTTTTATCATATATCATGCTCTGTTAGGTATTTTTCTGAATTGTACAATTAAAATATCCCACATGCTTTTGCACATTTAACCACGCATTACCAGAAACAAGCTGTTGAACAATATTCTGGGTGTCAGATGACCATGTGGAGCTCACTGTGAAATTATCAGCATCATCAGTGTGGGTGGCAACTGTATAGTACTTGTACCTGTCAGAGGGGGGAAAATTAATGCATTAAGGAGTAAGTTATTACTTTTTTATTACGTTTTTTGTCTTGAAAATGGTCTAAAAGTGTTTCAATTGGTATATTTTGGGACTGTGGAACTAAAGTACATAACTGATTACCTGCAAATAAATTAAACTATTATTATTTAACAAATGTTTTATTAAGTTGTACACAACGCTAATAAAATAAATCATAATAAATCATCAGTCTCTGTGCCATTTCTAAAGTATCAACAGTAATTGAGTCACATTACAGCATCAATGGTGTGACTCACTGGTATAAGTGCTCATCTAATGGGTGAACCTCTGCCCTCATTTCTAACTGGAGCTCAACACATTACTACTCACCCATTTCAAAGCTGCCATTGATGATACCAGCAGAAGAGCTTTGAATCTCAAAGTGACTCTCAATCTGAGTTATGGTGCTTTTGGTGTAACTCCTTGTCAGCAATTTATAGAAATAACAGAAGGCAAATACACCAATAAAGATCTTGGAACACAAGGACAGAAGAAAGATTTGAGTTTTTGGTCACACTTTATTTTAAGGTGCAATTCTCGCTATTAAAAAAAACATGAACTACGACTTTTGCCTCAATAAACTCCTAATTTGCTGCTTATTAATAGTAAGGTAGTTGTTAAATTTAGGTATTGGGTAGGATTAGGCATGTAGAATATGGTCATGCAGAATATGTGATTTATAAGTACTAATAAACAGCCAATATGTCAATAAAAGGCATGCTAATGAACATCTACTGTAGTTAATTGTGAGAATTGGTCCCTAGGAGCTGGAGTGTTTACAAGAAAGAATCTGGAACTTGAGCATTGATTCTTATATAAATATTGTTTCTTAAGCAGCAAATCAGTATATTAGAGTGATTTCTTAAGTATCATGTGACACTGAAGGATGGAGTAAGGCAGGGGTGTCAAACTCAATTCCTGGAGGGCCGGAACCCTGCAGAGTTTTGTTCCAACCCTGCTCCAACACACATACCATGTAGTTTTCAAATAAGCCTGAAGGACTTGATTAGTTGGATCAGGTGTGTTTAATTAGGGTTGAATCTAAACTCTGCAGGGCTCCGGCCCTCCAGGAATTGAGTTTGACACCCCAGGAGTAAGGGTAAATTACCACATTAAACATTTAGATAAACTTGAGTGTCTGCTGTTAATGTTTGTTAGATAGAATGTGAACCAAGAATGAGTATGACTGTAATGTCATGATGGTTTGTTTCAATACATAAATAGTATATTGCAAGTAGAAACATTTTGAATGACTATTTACAGCAGGGGTTCTCAACTCTGGCCCTCGAGGTCCACTTTTCTGCCGAGTTTAGCTCCAACTCTAATCAAACACACCTGACCAAGCTAATCAAGGTCTTCAGGATTGCTACAAAGTTACAAGCTGGTGAGATTGATCAAGGTTGGAGTTGAGAACCTTTGATTTACAGTAACCTTATATTAGGGATCTCCAACCCTGATCCTGGAGAGCTACCGTCCTCCAGACTTTAGTTCCAACCTTGCTCCAAAACACCTGTCTGTAATTATGAAATATCCCTGAACACCTTGATTAGCTGGTTTGGGTTTGTTTGAAGCTGAAATCTGCAGCATGGTAGCTCTACAGGAGCAGGGTTGGAAAACTTTGAATTCTCTTGCACTTCGGATTCACTCACTTCAGGGGAACACAACACTTTTATTTTCCTTTTTCTCTCCATCACCATGTGCCTTGGGGAATTCGTTTATAGAATTGTACTGTTGAATAGCTCACAAGAGGGATTTGCCAGAACACTATATAGTTTTGTAAGGGTCCCACTCACAGTGCTCCTCTGTGTGACAGTTAAATCCAAAGTGTTTATCAACTTTGACCCTAGCCTGTCCGCTCAGTGTAATGTTACCCAAAAAGCTAATAGGGCCTTGGCCTCTCTGCTAATGAAATGGGTACTTGTGATGATGAACACATCCTCTTCATTACCTCAACAACTCTCACTGATGAGTCAGTCAAGATCATATCTGTCATTTTCAATCAGGAATAGACACGTGGACTGAATATAACATTCCTAGATTGTCCTAAATACCTGTGGCAGTGGCTGAGAGCTGTATTGTTGCGTTAGGAGTGGCTGTTATACATACGCATGACAAAATTGGCTTCCAGCTATAATGAAACTCAATAAAGGGATAATTCATCTCAAAATGAAAAGCCTGTCAACATTTCCTCACCCTCATGTTGTTTCTAAACATGTAGCCTATGCATTTCTTTTTACAGAACACATTCAAGAGGAGTTTCAAATCACACGTTTAGGCTTTGGGCTGGTAATTAAAGAGGCAGGCATTACAGCAATTAACAGCAACAAGTAGCCCTACTTAACAAGCAATTAGCCCTAAATATGCAGCACTCATGGCTGTGTTCCACTTCAAATTTTATATGGCCTTCCCTCACTAACTTTGCTTCATCTCGTGGACTCAGATGTACATCACTGCTTGTTTTGTGTGAGTGGCCACTTCAGCCGGAACTTGAGCAATAGGTTTAAATGGAATGCCCTGAGCCCTTGATCACTTAGAATTACACAATCTTACACAATTTACAACTGAAACATCAATACGTTTTAGTATCATATATATCGCTAATTTCTACCAGGTGTTTCAAAGACTCAATTGCATTCATACAGACTCACTAAACTGCATAATTTACCATACATCATCACACCTACAATTTATCAATAACAACATCAATATATTTTATCAATATGTGAGGAACTGTTTGTAAATAGCTATATAATTCATTAGAACTTGCAATTGTAAAGTGTGTTTGCCTTTTTTATACTGTTGCACAAAACAGTATGTTTCACACAACTAATTTTTGTGACAAATGTTGGTGTCAGTTTCAATGCTACAAGAAATTGTATGAGAACTGCAAAAATCGAAAGAATTGACCAGGTCATGCCGCTGGTTAAGGAACATCTCGTGACCGCCCAGCAACGTCTGTACGACCGGCCCGCCCAGGCCCGGGAGTTCCAGCCGGGCGATCGAGTGGGGGTACTGGTCCCGACAGCTGCGTGCAAGTTCCTAGCGACCTGGCAGGGGCCCTACAACGTAGTGGAAAGGATGGGACCGGTGACGTACCGGGTGCGGCAACCGGGCCGCCGACGGACGGAGCAAATCTACCACGTCAACTTGCTCAAGAAGTGGGTTCCCCGGCCCGAGCAACTCGCCGCGC